CGCCTCGTGACTGTGATTAAGGGCAAGGCACTGTGGAGCAGGCCTCTGGGGAGAAAGACATTACCTTGGCAAGTTCCGAGCAGCAGGCATTTAGGGGTCTGAACCTGCCAACATCATTTCTGCTTGGACAGCAGCAAGTCTCGGTCATTTCTGACACTGCACGTGTTCTGAATATAACCGTGCCTTTCCGTTTTAACCTATTCCGCTGGCGTTCTCCTGCCGGCTGCAATCTGAGTTTTATGTAGCCGCATAGCACACTTTCTGATGCATTATTTCACAATGTGCGGCTGTAAAACCAGGCATATTTATATTACAGTGGGGAAGTTTTCTTTCAAACATATCACCAAGGGAGGAGAGATTCATGCGTGATGATGATTCCTATGGTGAGGATACTGTACAAAGAAATAATAAACTGGTTACGAGAAACAGAGAGGAAATATATTTGTGGCTTCCACACACTATACATTTTCTGCTGATTTTACTCATGTTTCTTTTTAAAGAGTTAAAGATTTGTTCCTATGGTGAGGATACTGTACAAAGAAATAATAAACCGGTTACAAGAAACAGAGGAAATATGTTTGTGGCTTCCACACACTATACATTTTCTGCTGGTTTTACTCATGTTTCTTTTTAAAGAGTTAAAGATTTATAGAAAGCATGATAAACTCCAGTAATGGGATGGTGAGTACCAGCATTTTTTCTTGTATTTTTTTAATGATAATTTTAAGGTCACTTTTCCAAAGAAAACCTATTTATAAGAGTGGAAAATGAAGGTATTTTTGTTAGGAAAAAAAAGGTGGACGTCATGGTGTAGTTATTTGAAAGAGTTTAGATCAGCTAAGTTGCATTTTAGGTCACCAATTCTAGGAAAGGTGTTTTGCAAACCGATGTTTAGAGTAATGTTAAAAAGTGACATCACCAGCTATGTGTCAGTTTCCACTGGTAGGATCCTTTTTATTTTACTTGGGGGCATTTAAGAGACCTACACATATGCAGGCTATTGCGGCCACTAGCTGTCCGAATCTAACGTGCTCAGCAACAACTTCCTCGTGGTAGAAGTCAGTTCATATCAGGGTCCCCCAAACACGCGAGGTTTGCTGCTCACACAGCAGACTCTGCAGACTGTGGCATGCAGTTACCGATGCCACAGACACATATGGAAGCAGCAAATGCCAGTGGCTGCAGCCTGTGTAATCAGTGGGTCACTACCCAGGAAGCAGACAGAGCTTAGGGTTGAAGCAGCTGTGTGAGGTGGCAAAACACTTAACCTTTCTGGGCCTCAGCTGTTTGCTCTGAATAAAAACCATCACAGGGACTTTGTAATTATTAAATGATAGAAATCAAAGGCCCATCGTAGGGTAGGTGTGCTGCACGTGTTTATATCCTTCTTTCCTCCTTGCACCCACACACTGAAGCCGGCTTTGCTGACGCTGAGGTGTCCACCTGATGGTGGGTTGAATGGAGACCCATCTGCTGCTCTGGACTAGGACTGTTCCCACAGCTCACTGGGGGCAGAACTTTGCTCTCGTGTTCTTTGGACTAATGCTTTTCGTGAGGCCTGCCTCATAAGACTTTCACCTTGAAGTTGAGCTTTTCAAAACTAAGGCCAATGCAGAATTTCCCGCTGTGCCAAAGCATTTCAGAATAATGAAAAGCCACCAGGTCCCATCCGTCAGAAGCTTTCTGACTCTTGGCCCTGGAGAAGAAGCTAAAATTTTTTCAGTGTTTCTAAGAGTTACATTGTATGGGCTTTGTGGTAATGTTAACATAGTTACTTGTAAACTAAACTACCTCAAACAGTCCCTTAGGGGATTATAGAGATAGCAGGGGATTATAGAAATATCAGGGATAACCAGTATGGGAGAAATGTTACTTTTCATCAACATACTTCCATATTTCTTTTCTAAATAATTTTTATCTTCTAGGAGTATGTTTTTTTCGGCAGCCCTCAACCAGTTTCATGTTGGTAAAGAATATGCTTATAGCCCGACTGGTGTGGCTCAGTGGTTGAGTGTGGACCCATGAATCAGGAGGTTGCAGTTACAGGGATAACCAGTATGGGAGAAATGTTACTTTTCATCAACATACTTCCATATTTCTTTTCTAAATAATTTTTATCTTCTAGGAGTATGTTTTTTTCGGCAGCCCTCAACCAGTTTCATGTTGGTAAAGAATATGCTTATAGCCCGACTGGTGTGGCTCAGTGGTTGAGTGTGGACCCATGAACCAGGAGGTCACAGTTAGATGATCTCTCATCACTGATGTTTCTACCCTTCTTCCTTCCTCTCTCTGAAATCAATAAAAACACATTTAAAAAAGAATATGCTTAGAGGAGAATAAATGCACAAGTGTGCACCAACACCCAAACGCCTTCTAAAGAAATAGCGACACCACTGCAAACAACACTAACGCAAAAACATTTATAGTTAGGTGGAAGAAAAATCAAGATTTTAAAAAAGTTGCTCCTTTTCACTTTGCTTTGACACACACAATAAATGCCACGTGGCATTCAGAGCACAATTCTGCAAAGAGGATTGAAAAAAGAAGGATGACTGGACAGAATATATTTAAAAGTGGCAGGCACCTGGCAGGAAGGCTGAAGGTAGAGTCACCAAAACGCAGACACTGAAGGGGTTCCGGAGCCCTTCTAAAGCAAGGCTGTAGTGGGGAATGAAGTGGCTATGCCAGGAGCTCTTTAAAAATACACACACCCAGAACAAACCAGGGATCTGCATTCCTAAGCACAGGCCATCTGCCCCTCTCTCCACTTCCTGTTCACCAGGTTCTGAAAAGCCAAGGGCTCTGAGCCCTTGTTCCCTCCCTTCCTCACTCCCGTGTGCTTCCCAAAGGATGGCAGCAGGTGCCCTACAGATTTCTTCCTCTGCAGATTTCACCGCCCCTGCAGCATCCACCAGCCCCTCCCTCTTCCTGGGAAGCCTTCTCTGCAGTCAGAGGCTTCAATCAGAGTCCTGGCCAAAAAGAAACCAAAAACCAAAAAATCGCTGATGGACTTAAGATCTCTGAGGGTGACCTGAAACTCGGAAGCAAGACAGCTGGCACAAAGGAAATGAATTCATGAATACCTAAGAGTGTGGTGCAGGCCGACTCACACACACTGAATGTGAAACCATGTGGTTTACATGGAGCAGGTTTTAAAAAATCCATTCTGCCACTTTTATCCTCATGTAATTGGGAGAGACAAAAATATGGCTCATCTAGGTTCTCTCCCACCTTCCTCATCCTCCCCAGAGAAGCCTTTCCCGCTGTTGAATCACTGATGAATGGGGAGACCAAGGACGAGTAGGCTATAAAAAAGCCATCAGGATAAGTGCCCTAGCTTGTCTGCCAGGGCCAACTGAAATTCAGGACAACCTAATGGCATCGGCCTGACACCCTAGAATGATTGAGTTTGGATGGATCTCTTGATAGATTTAAGCTAGTAAAGTTGTTTTGAAAGTTGCATTATTTAAGACAGAGGAGAACACCGCCCCCCCCCCGCCCCCTTCCCAATGTTCTCTGCTGCAGTCTTTCCCTCTGCCAGGAAGAGGAATCACAGGTTTCTGAGAGTTGCAAAGAACCTCAGAGGTGAAGTCTCACCCACCGTTCCTGTCCTGTGGGGAAAGCAGTGCAGTGCCGCCAGGCAACTGTGGTGTTGGCTGCAAGTACCTCACCTTCTCAGCATCACCCGGAAAACTTCTGGCTTCTCTTATTTGAAAACTGTTACCATGTTTCCCCTTAGTTTGCCTCTTAAAGCAGCAGCAGCAACAACAGTAAGTTGCACATCAAATGCCACTCTTACACAAGTAAAATAAAAATTAAACGCTTGCTTAGAAAAATGTTAGGTGTCCTATGCCAATGTCTGAGATCCGCTCATGAAAGTGATGGACTCCCTAACATAACGGGTAATAAATATGCTCTGCAGACTGCAGGACAGCATCGTGGTGCAGGGCGCACTGTTTCAGGTACCTGGGTGTTTCTTAAAGGGGTTCCATGGATTCCTGACTGTATCTGTTCCCTGTTTATTTGAGTGAATCCGGGTAGAGATTCATGCAGCTGTTTTCTGTCCGCCCAAGAACGAGACATCTCGGATCTGAGTTCTCCCTGGGGCTCCGGGCTGGCAGCAGCCGCTTCCCTCCCAGCCAGCCACCTGCACGGCTGGTTGAAATCATCAGGTTGGGTGCTATACAGGTGTAAAAAGAGGGGAAGGGACTTTTCATGTGACGGGGTTGGGAATGTCACGCAGGAATTTAGCTTGAGGAAGATGCAGGATGCGTTTACAGTATGAAGTACGCGCTGAGGGGCTCACCGCTGCCTTTGCAGTTAATTTTCATGCCGGTTAGTTTCAAACCGTTCTCCGCCTGGCTTTCCTCTACCTACACGTTTCACCCCGCGACACGCAATGGTGGTTTCATTCCTTTCCCGCGACACGCAATGGTGGTTTCATTCCTCAGAAAGAAATGAGAAAATCTAGGAACACCGAAAGGCTGATATTAACTAAAGGTTTAGAAATGCTCAGGTCAACACCTGCAGTGCCGCAGTTTCATGGGTGTAAGCAGCGCGTTAAAGAAAAACAACCAGGAGAAAGCGAGATATATGAAAGCAAGTGTGAGAAGCAGCTACAAAGAGAGAAAACTTTCCTCCATACTTGCCGCAGACCTGCAGCCTCTGGCGACCATTTGCATGTCCAGGGCCCTGGAGGCACTGCCTTGTCACCATATGCACCAAGGGGGGCGATGCGGAGGCCCCTGGTGGGGAAGGGGCGAGTCAGGGGGAGAGGATGTGTCCGAGGTACCAAGGTCTGGACATCAGGAAAGGAGAACTGGTTATTGGGGACACCTCAGAATCTAGGTGATACGAGATCAAAGGAGAAGTGGGATGGGCTGGGGCGGGGGGAGGAAAAGGAAATGAGTGAGAGAGTGTGGGGTCTCAGAGAAAACTTGAGGCTTCAGAGGAAAGTGGGAGAGGACGAGCCGCCGCACCCCCGCGGCCCCGGCGCGGTGATCGATCGCGGCTGCGTCAGAATTCTCGCGGAGTATAAATAGGGGTGGCAGGACCGCGCCGAGCCGCACACAGCCATCCACCCTCCCTCCACCCTTCCTCCCCCGTTCTTCTTTCTCTGTAGGACCCCGTCTCTGCCGCCAGCAGAGGAGCGCCGGCCGCCGCGATGAGTTCCTTCAGCTACGAGCCGTACTACTCAACCTCCTACAAGCGGCGCTACGTGGAGACGCCCCGGGTGCACATCTCCAGCGTGCGCAGCGGCTACAGCACCGCGCGCTCCGCGTACTCCAGCTACTCGGCGCCCGTCTCCTCGCTGTCCGTGCGCCGCAGCTACTCGTCCAGCTCTGGCTCCTTGATGCCCAGTCTCGAGAACCTCGACCTGAGCCAGGTAGCCGCCATCAGCAACGACCTCAAGTCGATCCGCACGCAGGAGAAGGCGCAGCTGCAGGACCTCAACGACCGCTTCGCCAGCTTCATCGAGCGCGTGCACGAGCTGGAGCAGCAGAACAAGGTCCTGGAAGCCGAGCTGCTGGTGCTGCGGCAGAAGCACTCGGAGCCGTCGCGCTTCCGGGCGCTGTACGAGCAGGAGATCCGAGACCTGCGCCTGGCGGCGGAAGACGCCACCAACGAGAAGCAGGCGCTGCAGGGCGAGCGAGAGGGGCTGGAGGAGACGCTGCGCAGCCTGCAGGCGCGCTACGAGGAAGAGGTGCTGAACCGCGAGGACGCCGAGGGCCGGCTGATGGAGGCGCGCAAAGGTGCCGACGAGGCGGCCCTCGCCCGCGCTGAGCTCGAAAAGCGCATCGACAGCCTGATGGACGAAATCGCCTTTCTGAAGAAGGTGCACGAAGAGGAGATCGCCGAGCTGCAGGCGCAGATCCAATACGCTCAGATCTCCGTGGAGATGGACGTGTCCTCCAAGCCCGACCTCTCCGCCGCGCTCAAGGACATCCGCGCCCAGTACGAGAAGCTGGCTGCCAAGAACATGCAGAACGCCGAAGAATGGTTCAAGAGCCGCTTCACCGTGCTGACCGAGAGCGCCGCCAAGAACACGGACGCGGTGCGCGCCGCCAAGGACGAGGTGTCCGAGAGCCGCCGCCTGCTCAAGGCCAAGACCCTGGAGATCGAAGCATGCCGGGGCATGAACGAAGCGCTGGAAAAGCAGCTGCAAGAGCTGGAGGATAAGCAGAACGCCGACATTAGTGCTATGCAGGTATGGCGCTGGGCAAAACACGGGGGTTAGGGGTGAGGGCTGCACAATCGAGGGTGGGGACGGGGTGGGGGGAGGAGGGCGCGCCCCAAAAGTGGAGACCGGAGATGAGGCCTCTGCATGCAGTATTAGGGGCATAGGACTTGGTTTCTTGGTCTGGGAGGGATGGGGCCCTTGGCGGGGGCGACACTGAGGTCTGGGAAGTTGTGCTTGGTGCAATGGAATCTAAGTTCCGCATTAAAGCTGCCCAGCCCTGCAGGATGTTGCGTGGGGTGGGAGAAGGAGTGGGGGTGGCAGCTGGGCGTTGCCTCTGGCCTGCCTCTCTTATTGTCCAGCATTAGCCACAAGTTGCTCTGCATCGAGGATTGGACCATTTGATTCGACAAATACCTGTGACCAACCAGCATGCTTCTGATTAGTTTTACCCATCACTCCTTTACCTTAACTTAGCAGGTAGATAGGAATACTCAAAACTATAATAGGAAATGATATTCACAATAAGACCTTTTTTTTAAAGGATCATCATCTTCTAGGGAGGAGGAAAAATCATGTAGCAACATAGAAAATACTTTAGATAAAATAAATTTTTATCAACCTATTTCTTTCTCCTATAAATAAATGTATTTCTTGAATGTGACCTGGATAGAGTTAAGCATTGAATGAGAGACAACGTTTTAAAAAAAAAATCGGTTTAGTTCCTTGAAGGCATTTTATGAAGTTCATAGACTTAATTAAAGAAAACAAAAAATATTCTTTTCCATCAAATAATTTTTGATCATTTCTTAAAATTTGTTATTTTGTTGTCATCTCGTGTTTCATGAAGCTGATTTTTTATTTTTATTTTTTATTTTTGCAAGGAAGGAAAGGTTAAACAGAGAAGGCAGTTGATTTAGGGGAGATTTTTCTTAAGGTGTGCACTTTGAGTCCAATTAAACGCAGGCCTTTGCCGCTATAATACAAGTAAAATGATAGTGGTAGGGATGTATGCTTGGATTTCTTTTCTTTTTTGTCTTCCAACAGGACACAATCAACAAATTGGAAAATGAGTTGAGAACCACAAATGGCACAATATTTAAAAGAATACCAGGACCTCCTCAATGTGAAGATGGCTTTGGACATTGAGATTGCAGCGTACAGGTAAACACTGAGGCACCAAGGCCACAGCCATTCAGCCTCAGCAAGAAAATCAGATTTCATTTATGTTGAATCAGAAACCTTCAAGAACAGTCCTTGAGATAATTGTTTGCTTTCTGGCTTTTTCCAAGAAGGTATTTAGACAAGTATATAAGAATTTATCCCTGTAAGAATGAGTCCTGTTTCCAGCTTCCCATTATATTTTAAATCTAATAGGACTATTTTAAAAGTTTTTTAAAATGTGTGTTGTTGTTTTTGTTCTGGTCTCTTTCACAACATCTCCAGTTACTAGGTTTTGAAATTTCCACCCCTGCTCCTGTTTGCATGTGCCTTTAAGGGTGTGGCATTAGGCGAAGGCGATGAGTGGTGGGCTCAGAGCAAGTAGCTCAGCACATTTTCTGTGTTCATGTTTGTTAACCCCATCCTGCCCCTGCCTCCCTAGGAAACTCTTGGAAGGTGAGGAGACCCGGCTCAGTTTCACCAGCGTGGGAAGCATGGCCAGCGGCTACTCCCAGAGTTCCCAGGTCTTTGGCCGATCTGCCTACGGTGGTTTACAGACCAGCTCCTACTTGATGTCCGCTCGCTCCTTCCCTTCTTACTACACCAGCCACGTCCAGGAGGAGCAGATCGAGGTGGAGGAGACCATTGAGGCTGCAAAAGCTGAGGAAGCTAAGGATGAGCCCCCCTCTGAAGGAGAAGCTGAAGAGGAGGAGAAGGAGAAGGAAGAGGCTGAGGAAGAGGAAGGAGAGGAAGAGGAAGAAGGTATGATTAAAATAAACAACCGTACAACTTCAAGTGCAAGCTGAGCGTGGGTATTTGTTAGGACATGAATAAGATAAATGAAGCCTTGCTTATTCCAAAGAAGTTCCATTCATATATGAGTTTAGGATGTTAAATGATACACTTATCCTTTAGTAAGCACCTGATTTCTCAAATTGGCTCTCTTCCCAGACATACACAGCTCTGCTTAGCTTGGTAGTTTTTTCGAAAATAGCATTTAGAAATAGCCTCCTCCTGGTCTTGTCATTCCTACTAAACATTTGAAAATATATTCATTGACCACAGCAGTTTGGTGTCCTAAAGAACAAAACTAAATACTAAGCATAATAATAAAAGAAATACTGAGGTCCTGGAGAGCTTCCAGTACCTAGAAGTAATCTCACTGTATTTCAGTATGTGTTCAGGGGCAAAGCATTCCTGGCAGGCACTGTCAGCGGCGTGTGTTTGGGAGAGTAGAGCGGAGAGGTTATTGGGAAGCATTCTGACGTGATTTCCCCCAATACCTAAGCAGATATATTTGGCCTGGAATTAACCTGGATTTGGAATTTGTACTTTTCTTAATGTTAAAGGTGCCAAGGAAGAATTTGAGGACGCCAAGGAGGAAGAAGGAGGTGAAGGTGAAGGAGAAGATGCCCAAGAAGCTGAGGACGAGAAGAAAGAGGAAGGTGCTGGGGAGGAGCAAGCAACCAAGAAGAAAGATTGAGCCCCCCCCTCCCCCCTTCCCTTAACTATTTCAGGAATAACCCTCCCGAAACCTGGTCAACCCCATCACCAACCAAGCAGCTGAGTTCCCGATACTATATGAATTAAGAAGTCAATCTATGTAACATTCTGAGGTGACTCAGGTTGGACATTAAATGTTGTGCTATGACTTTTCTCCTTATGCAGAGTATCTGTTTGCTTGCAGAGTGGCTTCCTGGCTTGCTGCCAGCCTGTGCATGGTCCACGCTTATGAGTTCAGGATCTATGGCAATGTGAATAATTCAGACGTTTACAATAAAAACACATGAATACATGAATTCACTAATGTTAACGTTAAACTTCGTGGAAAAAATAGTCCTTTGAGTCTTCGGTGGTTAGAAATGAAAGACCTCAAATCATGTGCAATAAACAGTAAATAAAGTTACACTGAATGACATTTTTTGCTGTGATTATTGACTTTTAAACTATCTTACAGAAGGCATCAATATAGGTCATATGCAAGTGGACTGTTGACCTCCATTTTTTAAGTCAAAAATTTAACAATACAATGTATTTTTGCCCTTTAATTGGTCATTCTGAGGGATACAGTTAGGCCATGATCATTCATGAAATCTCTCCCCTCAAAATTTTTATTGATACTAAACTTGAGCAATTGGGAGTCCCTGGGATTCTTTTTCTTTTATCAATAGCAAACTACTTTTCCCCCCATAAAATGTACTATATAATGTTGGGAATGACTTTCTTGGAGGCAATTCTGAAGTTATGTGATAAGTATACTGTTTATGGTAAACAGGTAACTTAAACAATACTATATAATAAAAATGCAATTTAGAGAGAATTTGAGTCTTGCCTGTCCATCATTATAACCACATTAAAATATATAGTCTAAATATCATGGGAAAAAGTTGAAAAACCAAGTAAATGATAGAATCAAAAGGAGTAATTTTTTTTATCAATGTATAAATTTGGACAGAGACTAAGAATATCAAAAGTTATTTCGATATTATTATTGCAAACATGTTGCCTGCAATCCTGAACTCATGATTCAGTGTGTTGCTAGCTTAATTCTGTTGCCTCAAGTAAATAGCATTTAATGCCACCCATTTTAAAACTTTAAAAAACTACAGATACAGAAAATGAAATTGTTATGAGTCACTATTTCAATGATAGCTCTAACTGGTTGGACACCACATCACATACACACCCCACTCGTCCTCCGTCCGCTGCAAAGTTATGAAAGCTCCTGCACTTGCACTTGATGTGGAATGTTGATGAAATTATTGATTATCCGCTGTTCTGCTTCTGTTCTTACACAATTGCTTTGTCAGCTAATTTTGTTGAATATTTGTTCTTTAGACAACTTTTAAAAGTAATGAATTTAAACTGAAAGCGAAGTGGTCTCCTTTTAAAGTTATCTGATCCCTTCTCATTACCTACTTCTAGTTACATACATTTTGCCACATAAATAGGTAGAATATATTGCTTTATCTGCCATGATGCTATGGATGTGAACCTATGAAGATTCTCAGTACATCGGCTTCTGTAAAAACTAGGAGTCACCTCAGAAACCAAGCTTTTCACATTTATGTTCATTAAACATGGGATGCTGCACATGGTAAATCTGAGAGATGCAAATTACATGTAAAAAAGTAACTTTAGCCAAATGGAAACAGCTGGTTGGTTTAAGAATTACTTGAAGAATAATGTACCATACTCAATCCTGTGTGCCATAATAAAATACTGAAAAACCTAAACTAAATGGCTTCGAAGTTTTAAAAACATTTCCCCCTCAAATTTGGTTCCTTGGTTAGTACCACTCTCCCTTCTGCTCCCTCCTAAACTCCAGTTCTCTGCCAGCATTCCAGTTAACGCCACCAGTCCCCAGCCATCCAATTCTGCAAACCAGAGGCTGGCATGGCATCATACGCTCCATTTTCTCTCCTCTAGCTCCTTTAGTCTATCAGAGCCCTATTGATTTTGCTGCCTATGTATCCTGAATCCATCTCCATTTCTCCATTTCCACTGGCACTACCTAAGGGCCCACCCATTGTCTATGCTTTGCCTCCTCAATCAGCACACTGAGGTAATCCTTCTAAAAGAAAAAATTGACCATGCCACCTCCTCCAACAGGTTCCCATTTATTTTAATATAGAAACCAAACTCTTTAAGGTGATATTCAAGGCCTGCATAACCCTGACCCTGAACTACTTCTCTGACTTCCTCCTTTGAGCATTCGTTCTTCTCAACTCCGCCGCTCCTGCACCCTGGCCCTCTGTTCTCCCACCAGCCACAGGGTTTTTGCTGATTTATCTGTCTGGAGCACTTGCCTTATCTTTCCTTCCCTCAACCTTGCCCATATTTAGGCTTAGCTGTCATTCTCTTGGGGAAACCTTTCCTGACTGGTCCAAATTCCTTTATTAAGTATGTCTTCCAGATCATGTAGACTTTGTAGACTTTTACACACCTGCAATCAGCATCTATTTTTATGATCGTTTCATAAGTGCCTGCATCCCCTGCTATGGTGTGGTCTTCAGAAGTATGGCCATTTGACCTGCTCACCATTTAGCCCCTAGCATCTTGCACAGTTCCTACCATAGGAAAGCACAATAAATATTGATTGAACTAAAAATTCTTAATAGATTAAAATGCCTTTGAGATGACTAGAAAGCCAAGAATAGTCAATAATCAGTCTTAGTCTCGTCAACACCTTGTGGGGAGAGCAGAGAAGAAAGACTCAGGCGTCTGCTCTGGATTCTAGCATTGTTGGTAATGGAGCACTGGCCAGCCCCATTCCCACCCCCACCACTCTGGCCTGGACCTCCACTCTTACCTTGACCGTCTTAGCTACATAAAGGGTTCAGCAGTTGATGTCTCAGATCCTTCCTAGAGTCATGATTCAAAATTTCCTGAAAATGTTTTACAAGCTGAGGGTAAATGGCTGAATGGGAAACATGCATATCACTATTATGTTCACACTAAAATTCATCACATAAAGGGCATTATTAACTTCGTGTCAAGTTACATTTCCAGCATTAAGTTGATAAGGAACTAATTTGATTCATTTCCCCCCACACGGATATGCTAGTGCTGTCAGAATAGTTGCTGTGTCCCAGGCACTGATCTAAGTGCACTGTATATATTAACTGAATTCCTCTCACACAGCAATGTTACCAGTCCAGTATGATTACCGTCTCCATTTTACAGATGAGGAATTAAGGGTAGGTAGCTTGACCAAGGTCGACAGGTAGTTTGTGGCAGGGCTGACAGTTAAACCTCACATTCTGGCTTTGAAGTCCATGCCCTTAGCTGGCCCAGCCCGCTGTTGCCTTTGCAGTCCACCTTGGGAGGCACCCTCGTGGAATCAGAGCTTACTTTCACAGGCATGTGTTGTCGCATTGGCTGGGGAGTTTTCACACAACTATTGGCATTTTTACAACACAGTCCATGTACCATCCAAGGGGCGTAGTTACATTCACAGGGTTCCCTTGCATTTACTTAGGGTGCTCCAGCTCTTCTTTAATCCCTTTAATCATTTATGTCCATGTCTTCATCCCTCTGCTTAATTTTAAGCTGTTGGAAGGCAAGAGCCAGTTTTATAAACAGAGATGAATTTAATGTTTACCTTCAAGGATTATGCCACCTCAGGATGTTGGTTCCCGTGGTGTTATTCTTCTATCTGGTCACAATTTTCTAGTTTTACTTACATCTAATTAGTTCTCAATTGTTTCTCCTTCTCCTTTTCCTCCTTCTGGTTGTCCTTTATATCTTTCTTCTTCCTTCTCCTCCTCCTTCTTGCATGTCTTTTTGTCATAAACTATTTTAAATCATTTTGGGAAAGGGTAAAGGTTGACTAAATAAATAAATGGTCCTAGCTGGTTTGACTCAGTGGTTAGAGCATCGGCCTATGGACTGAAGAGTCCCGGGTTCAATTCTAGTCAAGGGCATATGCCCAGGTTGCTGGCTCCATCCCAAGTAGGGGGCGAGCCAATCAAGGATTCTCTCTCATCATTGATGTTTCTATCTCTCTCTGCCTCTCCCTTCCTCTCTGAAATCAATAAAAATATATTTAAGAAAAAATATAAAGAAATAAATGAGTAAATAAATAAATGCCTTTGTTTCCCTCCACAACACCCAACAAAGTGCCTTGTATTTAAGGCATCTTTTAATAAAAATATTTTCTATTGATTTTTAGAGAGAGCAGAAGGGAGAGGGAGAGAGAGAGGAAAAAAAAATCAATGTGAGAGCAAAATATTGATCAGTGGCCTTTTGCATGTCCCCTACCAGGGATTGAGCCTGAAACCTGGGCATGTGCCCTGGCTGGGAATAGAACCAGCAACTTTTCCGTGCACAAGATGACACCCAACCAATTGAGCCACACGGGCTAGGACTGTTTAGGGCATCTTAATAAATGTTTCTAGGATGGTGAGATTTAATATTTGTGAGAACGTTTCATAAGCATAGACAGGATGGAGAAGTTCATCTTTCTCCTTTGGGGACAGAGTGTGAGGTGTCAGAATTGGCCCAGACATTATTCGCCCAGACATACCTCATTTTATTCTGCTTCACAGATATTTCATTTTTCACAAATTGGAGGTAACACTCTCCACCAGCAAAAAGATTACAACTTCCTAAAGGCTCACATGTGGTTAGAATGTTTTAGCAATAAAGTATTTTTAATTAAGGAATGCACATGTTTTAGACATAATGCTATTGCCCACTTAATAGACTATAGTCTAGTGCAGTGGTTGGCAAACTGAGGCTCTCGAGCCACATGCAGCTCTTTGGCCCCTTGAGTGGGCTCTTCCACAAAATACCGACTTCTGCACATAGGCCACGAAGTTTCAATCGCACTGAATGTGCGCGCCCGCACGTGGTATTTTGTGGAAGAGACACACTCAAGGGGCCAAAGAGCTGCATGTGGCTCGTGAGCTGCAGTTTGCAAACGACTGGTGTAGTGTAAATATAACTTTTATACACTGGGAAACCAAAAATTTGTTTGGTTTGCTTTATTGAGGTGTTTTGGAATCCAACCCAAATGCCTCTGAGGTGTGTCTGTTTTTGAAAGGGGCCCTCAGTGGAGCATTCAGGATGTTGTCCTCTTGGCAAAATGTCCAGCAGAATGGAGTGCAGTGAATTACACAAGCCAGGAAGCCAGGCCGTCTTCAGGTTAAGGTCCTCTAGAAAATTCCTACTAAAGAGGTTTATACGAGAGCAAGAAAGCCAAAAGATAAAGCATCATGAGAAGAAAGAAATTTTCAGCAACCTCACAAAGTAACTATCGATAGCTTTTTAATTCCACTTCAACATAGATAATTATTTGTATATGGAGGGTTTTTTTTGTTGTTGTTGCTAAATGAAACAATACTGTATTTAAAGAAACTAAAAAGGAAAAAATTTCCACTTCAACATAGATAATTATTTGTATATGGAGGGGTTTTTGTTGTTAAATGAAACAACAATACTGTATTTACAGAAACTAAAAAGGAAAAAATATCATATTTCCCCATTTCAACTACCATTATTTTTATTTATATATTTTCCTTTAGTCCTTACTTCTATTTATGTATATTTTGTCATAGCTCATCCATTCACTCCACACATATTAATCATACACTATCTGCCGAGCACTGTGTGTGTGTGTGTGTGTGTGTGTGTGTGTGTGTAAACAGGCAAAGGACAAATAAACAAGTTGGTAGGTTGGTGACATGGGATCTAAGCCAGATGTGCAATGACCTGGAGAAAGAGTGTTCTAGGTAGAGGGAACAGCAAGTGCAAAAATTTGTCTTGTTTGACACTCCTCACCTCAAATGCCTTAAGTCCATTAGTGAATATTGAGAATATTTATTAGGTCCTGGGTAGTGTGGCTCAGTAATTAGATCATTGGCTCTTGCACCAAAGCGTCATGGGTTCAATTCCTGGTCAAGGGTACATACCTGGGTTGTAGGTTTGATCTCTGGCCCTGGTCTGGATCCATGCAGGAGCAATCAATTCATGTGTCTCTCTC